GCATAGCACTAAGCTTAAAGATACTGGATGTAAGCAAGGAACTGGAAAAGGATAACTGCAATGGGCAAAAGTTTGAGTTCAAAGCCAAACCCCTATTCCACAGCCCATCTCCTATCCCACAGAGGCTAATCAGAGAAAGGCTGAACTAGAAGCCATCTCATCGTACAGTGTGACATTGGGCAAGTCCCTCCACCTCCCTTGACCTCTACTTGCTCATCTCTAACTTGGGACTGATCATTCCCAATGATTCCACCATGCTACAGCCCACAGGACCTCCCTGACGGTCTTTATTAAGCAAACAAATAAACCCTCTCCCACCTGCAGGACCTAGTCTGGACAATTTTGATATCAGTGCTCCAGCTGTGAATTTGAGTATCAAGAAAACCAGACTCTTAACATCAGCTGCAGAATTCTACTAGGAGTGGGGATCATAGCTCAGACATTCTAGAGTCTCAGCTTTGCAGTCAGCCAGAACCAGCATGGTAGCCAGTGTTCTGAGGTTGCAGGCAACAGAAATTGATTCTGAGTTACGTATGCAGATAGACAATGTACTGGCAGGGTATCAGGTGCTCACAGAATCAATGAGAAACCTGGGGACCCATCCTCAGGAAAGGGCAGAAACAAGCAGGATGCTCCAGGGGACACTTCAGCAGGAATGAATTGGAAACCCCTAAAGACTGATGGATTTGCATCAGCACAAACAAATCCCCCAAAATAGAACTTACTACTTCTCAGGCATTGCCCTAAGTGTATAACAGTTATGATGTCAAACTCAAAAAAACCAAACTCACTGCTGTCAAGTCGGATCCAACTCATAGCGACCCCTCCTTGGGTTTCTAAGCAGTATCACTACGGAGGTAGATTGCTCAATCTTCCTTCTAAGGAGTGGCTGGTGGGTTTGAACCGTCAGCCTTCTGGTTAGCAGTTAAATGCCTTAGGCACTACACCACCAGAGCTCCTACAGTGATGATGGAGATTCTATCATTATCCTCATGTTATAGATGAAACACTGAGGGGAGAGAGGTTATGTTGCTTGCCCAATATCAGAGAGTGGATCCCAGGATTGGACCAAGGTTCTCTGTTTCCATTTATTATGCTGTTAACCACATTGCTTTGCTACTACTTGGTCTCACTCTTTGCTAGATTCAAATCCCTTAAAGAGAGATTCTAACTGACTTCACCAGAATCACATATCCAGGCTCCCACTAAGGCTGCACATGTGAGGAAAAGTTGGTCACACAAAAGGATAGTAGGTTGCATAAGAAGGGGTGGGGGAGAATGGACATGAAGTGGCCTATAAACAATAAGTGTTCATTACAGTCCACCCCTTCATACTCTTATTCCCATGCATGTACTTCCAAAAATACTCTCTACTGACATAGTACAATTCCATGTGCAACCAGAAATGACTACACACACAGTTTGAACCTATACTTTATGGGACCTCGGGAGAATTGCTTCACATTTCTGAGCCTCGAATTCCTCCTCCAAAAACTTACTTCCTCATAGGGCTATAGTTGGGAATAAAAAAATTAATTGATATAAAGTACTTTGCACCAGGACTGATACATAGCAGAATCATTATACAACACATAAAAGGGTGTTGTTTTTGTTAGGAGCTGATGGTTGTGAAATCAGCCTCCAAATACACAGGCTTAACTGTTGGCTTAGACTTGATTCCTCTTCCAAGGACTTTCCAGAGAATTTTCCAAGTATTCACTTTCTCTTTCTTTGGTGAATGAATAACTAACCAAGTCATGCTTCAACTGTTACAAAAACTGCCATTGGTTTTACTTATGGCAGAACGGAGAAAACCCAGAAGCAACAGGGGAATGGGCTCCCCTCGGCTATTGATTTGCTACTTAGACTTGTGTAGATGTCCTCACCTTCTGGGCTTCCGTTTCCTCAGAATAATTTGGAGGTCTTAAGCCTCTCCTTGGGAGCTCTGGTGGCATAGTGCCTACGGCATTTAAGTGCTAACCAGAAGGCTGGAGGTTCAAACCCACCAGCCACTCCTTGGAAGAAAGACTGGGCAATCTACTTCCATAGTGATATCACCTTAGAAACCCGAGGAGGCTTGCTATGAGTCAGATCCGACCCCCCGGCAGTGAGTTTGGTGTTCTTTTTTCAATCCTCCCCTCGTGAAGCTATTTTGAGGGTTCAATGAGACAGTGCATTGAAAGGGTTCAACACAGTACCTGGCACAAAATAGGTTCCAGGCAAATGTCAGTTCTACCTATGATTCTGAAATTCCCATAACCAGGTGCCAAGACACCTCAGTGGGAAACAAGCTCACTTGGTGGAAAGGAATGTTGTAATTCAAACAGAATATGGAATTCACAGTTTTTCATTCATTCGCCGATCCATTCATTCAACAAATACTGATTTGCTCCTACTACAAGGATGGTAAAATGTGGCACCCACATATACACTAACCTCTTCTGTATCCATGGTAAAACCAAAACCAAACTGACTGTTGTTGAGTCGGTTCTGACTCAAGCAACCCTTCCTTGGGTTTCTGAGGCAGTAAATCCTTACAGAAGTAGATTGCCCATTCTTCCTTCCAAGGAGTAGCTGGTGGGTTTGAACTGCCAGCTTTCTGGTTAGCAGTCAAATGCCATAGGCACTATGCCACCAGGGCTCCTGTATTAATCAGTCATGGAACTTCCTGCTGAGCCGAGAAGCAATCTCAGAATCCTAACACAGAACTCAGGCAGCCATTACAAATCAATCTGAGTTGACATTGGAGACAATGCTTTTTTGTCAGCTATGATCCACAAGATACAAGGCAGACTGGCATTATGGAGAATTCACAGGCTCTGAGGGTAGAAGGCTTGGATTTGAATACTGCCTCAAAGCCTTGACTGGCTTCGCTTGGGTCACAGTCCTGAACCAACACTGTGGTCAGGGTAATGAGGGTATTCTGATTGGCCAGAATAAATTCCATGCCCACCCTTAGGTAGAAACACCATGATGGATGGTTCTACCAGGAGGAGGGGGTGTTTTCCGAGGAAACCAGAAAGGAGAAGGGAGCACAGGTTATGCTACTGAAGGCTTTGGTCACCATTGCCCTCTCCATAAACACTGGGAAGGAAAAATGATGGAAATGACGTGGTTTCTTCCCTCAATGAACTTCTCTTTTTGCAGAGGAAAATACGATGTTTGAATGAGTTTCCTGATACCAGGTCATAGCATGGTGGTGAAGGAGGACTTATGGACACACAGGTACCTCAGTCACTGTCCCTCCTCTAGGATGCCCACCGTCTGGTGAGAGAGGCAGAGATAACTCATAAGAACTAAACCTCTCTGAGCTCCCGACAGACAAAAATTTACCTTGTTCAGTTGTCTTAATTTATAGCAGGGAGGTCCACCCAGAGAGGGATAACTCATATAATGTCACATTGCCCAAGCAGGACAGCTACCTGTCATACTTGGCTTGCTCCCAAAACTGCCTCACGGTGGAGAAGCTCATGATATATACTTAGAGGCCCTGAGTTTGAGTCCTTGCCTGCTCATTAGCTCCCGAACAAGTCTTGGAGGTTTGCCTAAATTCTCGGAACCTCAGTTTTCTCACTGATACAATAGGACCAATAAGTTCTGCTTTGCCTACCCCC